TATTGTCATTATTTGCCCTAAGATGACCATGCATTCATTCAGCCTTTTTGTGGTAGTCTTTTTCGAGGATAACTGGAAATATTCAATTCAGCCTGCCACACATGCCCTTGTTCTATAATCTTTTCCACTGCTACTACATAACTATTCATGAAATTGTTGCATGAGTGACCACAGCAGAGCACACACAGAACCTTTAGGACAAATCATATCAAAGATGCTACAGATTTCAGGCAAAAGGTAGGAAGTATAAGGAAAACATTCAAGAGGCTGGGGATGTAGTCCAGTGGTACAGCACTTGCCTTTCATGTCAGGAGGTCCTGGGTTTAATCCCCAGGATGGGGGTGGGGGATAGAAACTCAAGATGAGATTAAAATTGAAGCCAAATTCTAAATCCCTATGTACCTATGACTGGAATTTTAGAAGGTCTTGGCTACTATAGTCACTCCTTTAGAACTGTCAGATTAAAAACATTCAGCATCAAAAAACTAAAACTTAAAATACACCACACAAAACAGAATGAGTATTTTTTTTAACATTTCACCCCTCCTGAAGTCAGGAAAAGACCCCACCCAAGTCTCCATTCCCAGCAGAATACTATATGACATACTAAGTAACACTCAAAACAAAACATATTTCTGGAAAAAAAAATTAGGAAAGTGACAAACCTACTATCTTTCTTCATATTCACCTTCTTTTTCAAACTCCTTTCCTCTTTCTTCCCTTTTTCTCCCTGTATACACACACAGAGCATACTTTCATTCACACACACACACACACACACACACACACACTAAGTCTGAACTAAATAAAGCAAAACACTAAGAATTCAAATTTCACCCTCCAATTCAAGATATTTTAAAAATATTGGCATCACTAATTCTGCAAAAGTCTTGTATAAACAACAAAGGCATCCTCTACTTTGCCTTCTCAAATTTGTGCACAAACCCACAAAATCCACATAGTTGACTTTCCAACCAATACCAGAGGACAGGTAAACAATGATATCAAATTCTATGCAGGATTATCTCTGCAATATGAGAAGTTAAATTCAAATTCTCTATAATTGTGCTCCATTCCCTTTACTCTACTTACCTAACTGCTTCTAAATTCATGTTCCCCATAGTATCTAGAGTGAACATTGTTCAGATGCAGCTAGGTCTATATGCTGATGCAGAAACCACCCTCAGGACTAGGGGTGTGACACAGTGTTAGAGTGCTTACCTAACACATGCCTAAGGTTCCCAGCACTAACACCAAAAAAAGAAAGTCACCCACAATTCACCAAATTTGGAGAGTCCATCAGTAAATTTACATATAAATAATGGCAGGAGAAGGAAGTTCTAAAGAATCTACAAAGTAACAGGTGATTAGAAACTATCTTGTATTTTAAGATAGTTTGACCAGGCCTAGTGGCTTGCACCTGTAATTCCAGTGACTCTGGAGGCTGAGGCAGAAAGATCACACGTTCCAGGGCAGGCTCAGCAATTTAGTAAGGCCCTGTCTCAAAATAAAAATTAAAGGAGGGCTGGGGATGTAATTCAGTGTTAGAGCATCCCTGGATTCAATCCCTAATACCTGAAGTAAGAAAATAGAAAAGAAAAAGAAAAAAGAAACTATCTTATGTTGCTTTCAAGTGAAATCATATGGGTGATCTTAGCTCCCCAACTAGACTATAAACTCTCTGAGGGCAGAAGTTACGTCTTATATTTATTTGGAATCCCTATGGTACATGCTACATAGCTGAGCATAGTGGATGCACTCCAAATGCTTACTGATTTGATTTAATGCCCCTGTGATGAATTTCAAAGTACAATAGAGTAAAGCAGCATAGGAAGCAAGCACAGTAGTTCTGACTCTGCTGATGTATAATACCCTGCTGAGTAAGTGCTCTAAGGGACTCTACAGTAATGAAGAAAATGGGTTTGTCACAAAAGGGAGCCCAGTGTCCAAATCTAAAGAGAAGGAATGTTACATTCTCAGGAAAGAGATATTATCCTGAATTGAAATTATCTGTATATTGTGAGTTTCCCTACAAACTCCCTGGGGTCAAAGATCAAGTGTATTATTTTGTTTCCCTAGGAAATAGTAAGTACGGTGTCTGACATGTTCTAAATGTGCAATAAATGCTAGTGGGTTGAACTAATGAACAAATGAAAGAATTGTTTAATGAAATCACATGAAGGACAAAAGAAGTGATACAATATGATTTAGTAGAAAATTTTCCATAGAATCTTATACTTATCACATCATACAACTTATTATTCAGTTCCCTAATTGTTTAATAAATGTTGTTTTCTTGGATGGATTCCTTAAGTAATGAGGAAAATATAAAGAAAGTTAGGGAATGTAGCAGGATATTATTATCCTAGGAATTCCACTGAACCCTATAATAGTACTTATCATTCCATATTGCAAATCACCTATTTACTTGTCTCCCCATTAAATGTGCATTCATTGTCTTTTTTTATCTGTGCAATGCCAGAGCCTAGAGCAGTACCTTACAAAAGTAGATGCTCAACAAATACCAGTCGAACACATGAGTCAACCATGCCTGCTCTTCTATAGATTTCACTGGATTTAAGTATTTTATCCAGTTCACATTCAAGGGTTTCTAGTATGGAAGAAAAGAAGAAGTGTCATTTTCCCCATGCAGGGCTTTGTGACAGATACAGATCAAATGGCCTGACTGTGCTTGGCTGAGTAGGCTTCTGCCTTTTCTGAGTGGGTTTTCAATTGAACTTTCTATGAATGCATATTGGAAATACACACTTAACTTCACAGTGTCTAATACATGCTATCATGGACCTGCCTACTCCTCCACACCAACTCTGTGTGATTTTGTTAAACAAGTAGAACATCTGGCTTTGTGAGTCAGGAACGTCATCAGAACTGAGACCTTAGGTTTTCTAAATATTTGAAGTAATACATTCTTCACTCTGCCCATAAGAGAATCTCAGAACACTAAGTTCTTAATAAAACCATGTTATAGTTATAGAGCTCCTGCCTCTTGATTGTGTTTCATAGACACTTGGCCTTGCATTTTTCTGGTGCCCTGAATTGATTGCATGAATGATCACCAGGTCATCAGGATTCAATACATTTGTCCATCTCCCTAAGCAAGAACACTATCAGCAACCAAATCACAACCTTGGCATATTTCACCTCCATTGTTGAGTGATCAGTGTGAAGAGTCTGACCACACCACTTTGTAGGTATCATCTATACAGAACCAGCTTAAATTCCTCTTTGGTTATAAGTGCTCAGCAAGACACACTTAGGTATACACACCATTGTCAACAGTGATTCCCAATTGCCTAGTAAAGAAATACACCATTTTAGGGGCACCTATGAATCAGACCCTTATACTACACAATGTCATATTATCCCGTGCATGGCAAATGTACCCATTTTGTAGATGAGGATAGAGAGACTCAGACTACATAACAAACAGTGACATTTGGATTCAAAATTGTGATCTATCTGGTTCCACTACACAGAACTGCCTCTCTCCCTCTCCACTGCTGAACTATTGGTGGTCTACAAATGATCCTCCAAGTAGTCTATGGTCTAGGCCCTAGCAGTATTCAGGGATATTAATAATTACAACTGAGCCTATCTAGCACAATATTATACTTTCAATAAATTTTTATTTATGGAGCTATGAATTTATAACCTTGGTGCTTTTGTTGCCAGCAAACTACCTTCATTTGTTCATTAAAAATACAGCTTTGGGGAGCTATTAATTCTGGTGGGAACTATTTTTCAGGGGAAGCCATCAATGTAAGTGATCCTAAGATCCCTTTGTCCTACAAAATTGATATAAACACTATGCAACCATTTTATGTAAACTTGATGGCCTGGGTATACCAGGCAGAAATATTTCTGAAACAGGAAGGTATCACTGAAACAGTACTTTGCTAGAAGTTTAGCACCCTGTGATATGCCCTCCCTCTCTTGATGACCTGCTTTGTGAGTCTGAACAAATCTCTTAGCATCTCTGCACCTTTGTTTCATCATCTACTGAAGGACCATCTATCAAGATATCCAATCTCAAGTATCAAAGGAGACAACAATTGTAAAGGTGCTTTGAAATATGTTGACGTACTCTATAAGTGTACAATATTTCTTTCATTCGTGGCCTGAATGGGGGCACATGCCTCCCACTGCATCAAATTTCCAAACAAAGAGGGAATTAGGCAATTCATAGAAAAATGAAAACAACATAAAAACTACCTTCCACCTAGCCACCCACCACCTACTATCCTGAAATATTTCAATAGCCAACAAGCATCTGACCACATTGTGTTTTTAAAAATCCTTCCATTTGGAAACATTCATTCACATTAAAAGGAAACAGAATTAACACAAATGCATAGCTAATTCCTAAAATGTTCATATTAGTGACAGTTTCAACCTCCTCAGCTGTCAAATGTTATTACCAGAACTGCTGAGAAATGGCAAAGTGGCTTTCATTTTTTACTTGCCTCCCATGAACCAGCTCATCCATATTCTTGGCAAGATGCTAGAGAACAGTGGTGTGAGGGGGATAAAAAGAAAATGGGGGCTTTAGGAGGCTGAACAACTCTCACAGGAGAACATTGCCCCCACTGGAGTGTTAGAGGGTTTCATTCATTTTCAACATTACTTAGTGACTCTTTCTAAGCTATTTCAACTGGCATATTGTTACCACTGGCTCTCAAGCATGTGATATTTGCAATAGGTGGAGCAAGCTTGTATTATGCCAGGACACCGTACTGGACTTTCAAAGGTTTAGACACTTTGGGTTCCTGCTTGCAACACTGGCCCACAAAATCCATATATTTTGGGTTACCTTTTGCCCCAAGAAACACTGATAGCAAACCTAAGTAAGGAAGTGGGCTTAGGCAGAGAAGTTCTCCCTGCCACTGCAGGGGATTGTACCAGCATAACAGTCTATGGTGTACTGAACAGCTCAAAAAGAGATCTGTGAAGACCTCACAGAGCTACTCATCTACACTCACCTCAGGCAGAGGCACACCATTGATGATCAGATCTGGCTGCTGGGGGCCCTGGCTGTTGAAAGAGTGATGGTAGATGTGGTTGGCGCTGGTATTGCGAGTATTCTGGTTCTCTACATTCAGGAAAGTGCTCTCAGAGCGGCGGCAGCCCAGGGGCAGCGTCTGCTGGTGGTAGTCGAAATAGTTGAGGGAGGAGGTCAGGGAGGAGCAACTAACAACGTTCATCTTGTCTGTCTCCTCCACATCCCGGGGTACCAGGCGGATATCATTCTTACTGATTTTTTTCTTCTTGCTTGATTTCTTTTGATGCCCATAGGAGTACTCAGCGATTCTATGTGACAGAAAAGGCAGCATGAATTGATAACACCCTCCCAAACCATGCACTGATTAATAAACATTAAGCATCCCAGAGGGTTGCACCCCATCTCCGCTCCAGCTCCTTATTCTGGCGCATTACATCATCTGGTTTCTCCCTGTGCTTTTCGCATGCGAAAACAAGCTGAGGGCCATGAAGTTTTCATATTGAACATAGTAACCTCCCCCTACCCCCACCCAAAAAAGTTCCTATAATCTGGATCTGGAATTTTTCATTTGAGTGGTCAGTGAGCAGGGGTGGGAGGATGGGGAAAGTTGAGCCTGTGGGAGAGAAAGCATTAAAATGCTTAAATCTGGAGCTTCCCTGGAACCCAAAACAACTTCGGGGTAAAGTGAGAAGCAAACCCCAATTTAACACAAAGAGGAGATGGAGGGAAATAAAAAATAAACTGCTTGCCAGTTCCTCCAGGCATTTACCATGTAGCAAACTCCCTTAATCAGCTTCCTCTATGATTGACCTGATCAATTTTAGACTGGGGTAGAAGATGAGATCCTGTCCTTTGAAGTCTCCTCAACTCCTGTCCTCCACACCCTCCGCCCTGCCCTAGCCCAGCTCCCTTCTACTCTCCACCCAGCCCCCTCCTCTTACAGAGAAATCTGATAGCCAAACCCATTTGAATGAGGGGAAATGCCTTTTTACCTCTTTCCCCTTAGGCTCACTTTCTCCTCTGCCTTTTTGTCTTGCTCCTCGCTAATGGGAGAAACCGAGATGCAATGCAGACACTTGCTGTTTTGTCCTTTTATAAAACAGCCGAGGAGACAAGTGATGGTTAAACAATTACTGCAAAGGAATTTAAAGGTTAGTGCATTCAGCATCCTTCTCCATTCAGGTGTACCTAAAAGCAGCTGTGCTGCAACTGGAACATAAAGAGCTCAATTTAATTAACACTGACACAGACCCAGCAACGTGCACCAAAGACACCAAGCATTAAGAGACTTGTCAAAAGAAATACATTAAAATGTAGGCAGATTCTCAATGTCACTTATTACTTAGCACATAATGATTTCAGCTTATTGTTTGGAAATTCAATTTCTAGGCAATAATCAGCAAAACAATAGGGTTAATAAATAATACAGGTTGATCTTTACAAGGGAAAGACTGCCTGTATTCTCGCTCTACAAAGCTAATTGTCTGAATACAAAAAGGGAGCCCAATTCAAGCAGCAATTGCAGATCATCTTGCAAGTCTCATAAATGAATGCATTTCAGGAAGAGGCTCTGCAGAAGCTGAGAACAAGGAACCTCTGCCTAATCACATGGAAAGAAACGCTCCTGAACTTTAGGTTTCTAAAAAGTCTGAACAGATGGAGAGACTGCATATCTACAGAGGCAAATAATTGCTCTGTCCCTGGGATCTACCTAGAGCTAAGCAGTTGAGTTCCCCTCACCCTTTCACTCTGTGCCCAGGCAGACTTGCAATGATGGCAAGCTGATGCTACTGGGGATTGGGAGCGGATTAAATCCCCCCAAACCCCTGGAATACGGTTGATTTTCTTTTCTAATCTGTTTACAGAATCAATGGGAAGTTCTAATCATTTTGTTTACCCATGATGAGTAAGTTTGGCAATGCCCCATCCAATTATTCAGCTGAGGCATTCATTGAATAGCCTTTTCTGTATTGACCAATTATTTAATTAAACTGTACTTCATTAATCCCAAACCATCACAGGGAAGAGAGTGCTTTACAAAATACACATTTGGGTGAAGTTGGAGAGCACTGAGATTTGCACTTTTTTTTCCAAATTCAAATGCTCTCCTCCCTGTTTTAATGATCTCCCTGGCAAGCACTCAGAAAGAGCTCTCACTTCTAGTCATATATCACCAAGAGGTGGCAAAGCCTTCAATATCTTTATTTCAAGCTGATTTCTTTTTCATCAAGGAAAGGGTCTTATGCATTTACTTTATGCTGAGAAAATGGCTTAAAAAGAGTCCCCTCTATCATTATCTCCATATAAATAAAATTTTATTGACCCTGCATTTTTCTCCTATAAAAATCGCCACTGGCAGTCACAGGTTTCAAAGGTAAGAGCAATATTAATTTCCATTTCTCCCATCTGAAATGACTCGGTGCTGAAGGAAAAAAAAGTCATGGCCATTTCACTAGTAACAGGATTAAAGCATTTATGAGGCATTGCAGCTGCTCTTTTATGGCACCTGATTGATATTCATGTGTGGTTAGCGTTTGTCTACTAACTTGTGTAATGCAGAGAATAGTAAAAGGGAAACAATAATTGCATGGCTGTTACATATTCAGGGAGCTCTGATTCACAGAAGTGTGCATTTCAGATGGTGTCAACTACAAATCTGACCTACAGGAACATATTTTGACTGATTAACATGCAAGCACAGATGGCACAAAAGACAAACTGGATGTGTAGGTGTGTTGAAAGCACACACACACCTTGGTTGGAAATAGCAGCATCATTCATTTTCAGCAAAGTAAAGAAACAACTTTTTTTTCAACTGTTTCGATGAGACACTGCTGGAAAAATTATATATTAAGTTGGGTTCTAGAAATTCTTGGACTTATTTATACTATCCAATTGTAAAGAAGAACTTCAGTAAGACCCTCTAATGTGCTAATCCGGATTGTTTTTTAAGTGCTATATGTCATTCTAGTTTCCACATTTCTCTTCCTTTTCTTCACCCTTCTCCTCATCTCTCTTCTCCCCCACCCCAATATACACATCCTGCACACACTTCAAGAGAAATTGTAACACAATAGCCCATAGTGACATCCACTGGTAGCAACTAGATCTTAATGCCACAGCACAGTTCCACATAAGAGGAAATCACCATAAACTCCAAGATTGCTATTTTTATTGAAACATCTGGATGCAAAGTCTTGTCCCTCATTGGGAAGTTGGGTCTTTATACACCAACCTAACAGATATTTGAAAACATACAGATAGATGCTTGACAGAATTTCACTTTATATAGTCAGATGTTTAGGGATTAGATCAAACCAAACCAAGAAGAGACATAAAAACACTAATCACCTGTTCTTTGTCCCTTACTCTGTTTCCCAACTTGAACTCCTACTCCCAGGCACTCTTCAGAGTTTATCACTGCAGCAAAATAGGGCAGCTGCCAGCATTCCCTCTCCTTTCAGTAACTGTCTCCAAATCACTGTGCCCTCGAAATCAAGTTATGGTTTTGCTGAAAATGTGAGTCTCATCTCTTCTTATCTCTTCTTTCTCCCTTTCTCTTTCTCCTTCCCCTCTCTCCTCCCCTGCCCCTAGTTCCCATAACTTCATGGAGACAGCTGTGCAAATTTTAAAATGATAATTGCTTTTCTGCTCATCATCATTATGTGACAGAATCCATTCAAACAGTAAATGATTGTCTTCCAGCAAATTGTCAGATCAAAAGAATTGATCAACTTGGACTCTCACAAACTTTCCCCCCCTCCACAAAGAAGCTGTGTGAGTATGCTGCATGCAATTAAGTGGGAAACAAAAGCACTGGGGTTTTCACAAAGAGACACAGATACTCACACCTTACTCATCCCAGACAAAGAAGAAAAGAAAGAAAAGTTGGCTCTACCTGCAGTTGTAGGTTCGGATCTCTTTGTTGTCGCGCTTGCACTTGATTGCCACGAAGATCATAGTGACAAAGAGGATGCCAGCAATAGAGCCCAGGGCGATAATGAAAATCAAGGATAGGTTCACTGAGCCCATTGACTCTTGGGCATCAAGAGCCGGGGAAAGGTAGATTAGGACCAGCGCAGAGGCTGAGAGAGACGTCTTGCCGTGGTCATGGGCCACCACAATAAGCTCATAGGAAGCTTTAGAGCTCTCGCCGAAGGTGCGGGTGGTTCTGATTTCGCCATTAACCTGGTCTATTTCAAAGAAGCCGCGGTCACCCTCAGTCATGTCATAGGTAACTCTACCATTTTCGCCCTCGTCGTAGTCGTCTGCCTTGACAACAGTCACCAGGTAGCCTATGCCTGAGTTTCGGGGGATGTAGACCTCAGCAGTGCCATTGATTAATGGCGGGGCTGTGATAACTGGGGTATTGTCATTGACGTCTAGGATGATGACCCGCACCGTGGCGTTGCTTTGCAGTGAGGGCAGGCCACCATCCTTGGCCAGCACCTTGAATTCAAATGCCTTGGTCTGCTCATGGTTGAAGGATCGCAGAGCATAGATATCACCCGAATTGGGATTGATGGAGACATAGGTGAATACAGGCATGTCCCGCACCTGCGACGGCACTATCTGGTAGGAGACACTGCCATTGAGACCCAGATCAGGATCGCGGGCAGACACAGAGAGAAGATAAGCGCCGGGAGTGTTATTCTCCTGCACGATGACCTGGTAGTAGGGCTTAGAGAAGTGCGGGTGGTTGTCATTCTCATCAGTTATGCGCACTGTAAAGGACTTGGCACTTTGCAGCATAGGTACACCGCCGTCGCGCGCCTGAATGGTAAGATTGTACTGATCGTGCTGCTCACGATCCAGCCGACCGTCCACCAGGATAGTGGAGAAGCTCTCATACTCCTGCAGGCGAAACGGCACGTTGCCCAGCAAACGGCACTGCACTCGTCCATTGAGGCCTGAGTCGCGATCAGACACCCGAACTAGGGCGATCACGTAGCCTGGGGGGGCGCTCTCGCTCACCTCCACAAGCTCACTGTTGACCGACAGCAAGTTGATTATCGGTGGGTTGTCATTGGTGTCCAGCACGCTGACGGTGACCTTGCAGTGTGCTGGGATAGAGTTGGGCCCCAGGTCCTTGGCCTGAACGTCCAGTTCGTACACGTGGCCCTCTTCATAGTCTAGGGCACCGGTGACAGTGACCAAGCCACTGTGTGGATCGATTTGGAAGAGCTCGCGTGTTCGGTCGTTGACATAGCCATAGAAAGAGTAGACAACCTGGCCGTTGGTGCCCTCGTCTGGGTCACTAGCATTAAGGCGAATGACGGGTGTGTTGGGAGGCGAGTTCTCAGGCACGCTCACCGAGTAGGTGGACTCGCCAAACACCGGGTTGTTGTCATTGGAATCAGTCACCTTGATGCTGAGGCCCACGGTGCCCAAGTGCGGCGGGTCTCCGCCGTCGAGTGCAGTGATTCGAAAATTGTAGTGCGACTGAGTCTCGCGGTCTAGACTTTTCTCCACCACGAGTTCAGCAAAGCGTGAACCGTCGCCACGCGTCTTGATCTCCAGGCCGAACAGTTCGTTGGGCGTGAGCTCATAAGTCTGCACCCCAAAGCTGCCAGAGTCGGGATCATAGGCGCTGTCCAGCGGGATACGTGTGCCGGGGCTGGCCGCCTCTGATATCTCTAGCTCAATCTGTGCCGCTGGGAAACTGGGCGCATTGTCGTTCAGGTCCTTGATCTCCACCTTAATCACGCAGATTTCCATTGAGCTGGACATAACCTCGAGAGAGATGATGCACTTCGGGCTCTGACGGCACAGCAGGTCGCGGTCAATCTTCTGCTTGGTGACCAGCAGGCCAGAGCTAGGGTTGATGTCCACCAGGTGCGGAGCGGAATTGGACACCACACGGAAAGCGGAGGCCTGCCGGGGGTCCAGCGCGAAGCCCGCCTCTCGCGCGTCCTTGGCCACGTTAGCGATTACCGTCCCGGCACGCTGCTCTTCTTCCACTGAGTACTTGAGGTTAATGAGGGCGGCCGCCTGCGTCCACAGTACGGCCAGCAGCAGCAGCACCGGCAGCAGGAGTGACTCCATGGCTGCGCGGGGCTCTGCTTGGCCTCGCCTCTCCATACCCCTCCGAGGCCGACGCCGCCGGCGCTCCAGCTTCCCGCCGGCTCGGGCCGCCTGTTGCGCGCGCCCCGTGGCCCCGGAGGCCGCGGGAGGAGTCCCGCCCAGGGCGGCCCGGCGGCGCGGGGCGAATACCCGCGCCGGCTCCAATGCTGAGGTTGCGGTGGACTCGGCGGGGGTTCGCTGGGGGCCCGGGGGCTCCAAGGGGCCGAGGGAGCGCCGCGCGGCCCCGAGCCCCCTCCCTCCAGCCCGGCTACTCAGTTTTCCCCCTTCAAAGTTAGCCGGACGCGACTGGCCGCAGCGGCGCAGGGCTGCGGGTCTGGCGGCGTTTGCGAAGCCGAGACCACCCGCGGCTGAGTCCTGACAGTACTTGGAGCAAAGACTCAGAGGGCCCTGGGGGCGCAGCCTTTCAGGCGCTGCCCGACCCGCCGCAGCGCACCAGCACTGGGGCTGCCGAGCGCGTTGTCTGTGCACCTGGCATGCGCAAGGACCTCCCCCCAGCGCTCCCGGCTCCCTGCGGAGAGAGGACCCGCCTGGAATGCGCCCTCCGGGGTCTGGGGGGGCCACACTGGCCTCTTCAAGGCCTGATGGGGGAAAAGAGGGATCTCAGGCGGGAGTCTGAGTTGCTGGCAAGGGCTGCGGGTGCCCAGGGACCTGGCTGAGCTGGATGGCGGTCCCGGGGCTGGCAGAGGAAGGGGGAGGGGACAGAGGCTGCCGAGGAGAAAGCGTGCTCCCAGGCGCTGAGATTGGCTTCGGAGGGCTTGGGAGGCGCGTCTGTTCAGGATCCGAGGTGGGCACGGAGTCTCCCCTCCAGAGCAGTTGAGGGGCTGCGGGCGTTTCTCGGAAATCAAAGTTATCAACGCAGCCCAAGCCTCCACATCAAGTTTGTGAAAACGGGGAGATGGCAATTTGTCCAACAAAATCAAAGTCCGGGTCTTTCCAATGGCCCGGTGGGGGGAGGGAGGTGGGGAGTGGGGAGGAGGGGAAGGGAATCTACAACAGTACCGACCAGGAGAGGCGGGGCAGCCGCCGTGGATACCCGGGGCTTCTCCTCCTCCCTGGGTTTGGGCTGGGGTGTTGCTCCAAGGGTCACCGCTGCTGTCGCCGCCGCTGCCGCGGGAGGAAGCCCTCTTAGTTCAGTCGCATGTCGCCGGGGTCCGCCTTGGCAGCTTCCACGGATGACGGTTTTGTCGCTGCCAAAGTTTACTTGCGGGAGCGTCTTGATTCCATCCTCCCGGAGAGGCACTGACCGCACTGCCTTGGGCTCCCTCCCTTCCGGGCACTCGCGCCCTCGGAAGGTCTGTCTCGCTTTTTGTCTGCCTCGGGCTGTGTGTGAGAGAGAAAGAGTGAGTGTGTAGCGTGGGGAGTGTGAGTGTGGAGTATGAGCGAGCAGGAAGAGATGGGTTTGGGGTTGGAGGTTTTGGATCTTAGATGAATCTGCTCAGCTAGAATGCCGCGGAGAGCAATGCGCCCTGGGCCCGCGCTGGGCTAGGGACGCGGATGCCAGCGCCCCCCGGGCAAGCCAGGCATGGTGCGCGGGAGATGTGCTGCCGTCTGCGCTCGCTCGCCCGTCTCCCCTCTGCGCCAGCCGCCGCCGCTACTGCTGCTGCTGCTCCTCCTGATGCCGCAAACTACTGGCCGCGGAGTCTGGAGAGAGCCGGAGAGACCCGGAGCAGCCGAGCCCGGCTACGCCAGGCGTTGGCCAATCAGCGAGCCGCCCAGCGGGCTCCGGTCTTGGGGCGGGACCAAGGCACCGGGGGCGGGGTGGGGCGGGGCCAGGCGGAAACTTACACACCGGCGGGACTGAGTGGTCCCCGGGCCTGCGAAGCCCATGCGGGAGTCGGGGGAGGCCGGATAGGCGGGATAGGCAGAGGAAAGAGGGCAGGGTAGAACGGGAAGGGGTTGGGCTGGTGCTGCGGCTGAGACTCCTTGGGAACCATGTGCCTCTCCAGTTTGCAGAGATTGCAGGAGACGAGGATTTGATTCTCTTGGCATGTTTATCTCCCTCACATATCTTCGTATCTTGAATATAATATGCATTCTCTCTCCTCTTCCCCCACCAATTCTTTGTCTCATCATCCTGGATTTCCTGTTTTCCTCTCTTCCCATTCTTGGGTAGTATAAGGAAGAAAGGGAAACAGAAAGCACCCTGGGGTGGTCATTCACCCAACGCTTGGCCAGTTGTGTCTTCACTTCACTGGGGGCCAGTATCCACCCAGATTATTATCCCCATCCCTAAAACCCTGGCAGATGCCGCACTCCCGCCACCCCCCGCCCAGCAGCAAGGTCCCTGACTGGGTTCAGCTAGCTCTTTTCTGTTGCTTGTTAATCAAACTGAATCTGTGGTGCAAAGACTGAACCTCGAAGAGATCTGGACACATTTTACTGCCCCTCACCCGACTCTTTGGATAATTTAGCTCTCTATAAATAAATTGTACGTTTGGGAAAAGCCGGCGGAAGGAATGCCGCCGCGCTGCGCCGCCGCCTCACCTCGCCTTGCCTAGCCGCACCAAGCTAGGAGAGCGGAGAGCTGGACAGACGCTGTGGGGTGGGCGCGCCATTCACATAGGTCTCTGGCAGCTGGGATCTGGTGTTGGTGTGCTGGGCGCCCCAGCCTTCCCACCCGGCCTCAGTCTCAAGGGGCTGCCAGTTCCCCTTGGGCGGCTGCGGTGGCTGCGGCTGTGCCAATGCTGGGAAACAGGAGGCCAGCGTGGCCAGGACTGACATCAAGCTTAGCCTGCCTTCTGGATGGAAGGCGCCCTGGGGACTGAAGGGACTCCTCCATGCCCTGATCTGAGGCTCTTAATTAAGGTCACCGGCGGAAGGAATCAAAAATCACTCCCGCTGCACAAGTTTTATTTTTCTTTTTTAAAATCATGAATTGGGGGCAGGGGAGCAGTTTCTGAATTCCAATTCTTGGAAGAGTAAATCACCCTTCTGAGTGAGTTGTCTCAGGTATTTTGGGAGTTTTGGGTGAGCAAACTCCTAATTAGCCCAGCGATAATTGACCCGACTTAAAATGAGAATCACTTTTGTCCTTTAAAAACATTAAACAAGAAAAGGAAAAGGCATTTGGACACACAGTGGATTTTCTCAAAACTGCCATCTTCTTGCAGAGAGCAACTCCTTCCAAGGGGAGCTAGTTTAGCAGCCTTTACCTTGTCGATGGGAGGAGGGAAAGATAGCTTCCTCCTACAGAAAGAAATTTGGTGAGTAAGGTTGCGACTCTCTGAACGTACATCCAAGGCCAAGGGGAAAGCGCGGAGATCCTGTTCCGCTTTCCGCGAGGGGGTCGTTTTACTCTTTCATATCAGAATGCAATTCAGCCCAGACCATCAGGGAGAAAATTGAGGCGTCTGCAATGAGTATCGTTTAATTTTGATCATTTAGAGATCCTGGTGGACGGCAGAGAGGGTAGCTCGAGGGAGCCCCGTGGTCCGCTGGGTTTTCTGCAGACAACGTTGGAAAAATGGGCAAGTAGAGGAGGAGAATGACAACATGGCAGGCAGCGAGGGCGCACCTCGCGGGCTCCGCTAAAGGAAGGGTTCCATTTGATATATCACAGTTATTTACCTTTGATGTCAGGGAGTGGGGATGAAGTGCATCTTGGTCTAATTAAAAAGGCCTAAAAAGGCATTTGAAATGGGTTTGCTATATGATCATGGGAAGAGAGTTCAGCGTTTGGCAGCTTTCTAAAATATTGCCTAGACTATTTAAACACAACAATTAACAGCATGCTAAAGTGTTTGCATGCTATGCTTAGAAGCTTTTAGCTGTAAACTTTAAGGCGATCTGTTCCCCTTTAAGTTAAAAAAGGATGATGCTGCTTCCTTGTGGCGAAGGCTGTCAGGAACCCGCTGATCAATAAAAGTAAACTGGCGCCTCCACGGCTTGATTGAGCGGGAGCAAAGAGTCTGAGAAGTAGTCTCGGCCATTAACAATCCCCCAGGTAACAAGAAATGGAAGAATTACTCAGGTAAAATGATTAACATTGCCGTGGCATCTGAAAAGATGCACACAAGAAGATAAGAAGACTGCGGACCTCTTACCTTAGGGAGTGCTAATAGAATGTCTATATTCTGCTGTCTTTTAAAGATAAATAGGAGAATTCAATTCATGTAGAATGTCATTACTTTTGTAATCACAATCACATTGTAAAGACATGCTCTGCATTTGCAAAGACAAATGCTCTTTACTAAGGCAGTGGCACCATTTCCCCCTTGCTTCCTGCTCACTGCTCACTGCTCACTGCTCACACTCCAGGAGTCCCTCTTTTCAAAGCAGAGCACCCAAGTACTTCCAGCTATCAAACTGCTTTTACAGAAGACAGATGCTGAGAGAGGCAGGGGCGTATGTATCTGCTTTCCTTCTTTCCCATTACCTCCCCACCCCCAAGCTCAAAGTGACAGTTACGCCCCCCCCAGGCACACACAATAGTTCTTCCATCCCCCAGTCAATTTCTACAGATAATCCTTATACCCTTTGCTCTCTGAATCTTTTTTTAAATTGGCATATTTGATCATGGTAGTCCAACAATGCTATTGACTAAATGAGTGGCCAAGAACTCTTTCATGATCAAGAATTTATTAACTAACTGAATGAAACCGTTCTGCATGTAGATAATAAACACAAAAAGAAAGTTCTCTTCATTTAGCTTAGGTTTACTTCAATCCTGAAGGGAGCCCCGCCTTCCCAGCCTCTTTAGAGACACAAGAGGGACATCTAGTGACCATCCTCAGTATTTTTTATACAACTGCTGTAGAGAAACACTAGGCTCTGGGTACCAACTATAGGGTTACACAACCTGCCTCAGCTCTCTAGGCCAAAGCAACTGCTTGGGTCACTAAGCTCCCCAATCAGGACTGGTGAAGAGATTGTTTTTGTTTTTGTTTTTGTACCAGGTGTGGTGGTACATGCCTGTAGTTCCAGCTACTTGAGAAGCTGAGGCAAGAAGATCACAAATTCTA